TAGAGGTCAGTCTGGACTTGAGAAATTTGTTTGGTTTAGGTTTTGTTTTTTTTATATTATTATCATTATTGTGGTGCTCAGGCATTTCTTGGACACGTTACAATTTTTCACAGGTAAAACACTGCGAATGGCACTCACCCCCAGGCAAAAGGCAGCATGAGCAACTTCGTCCGTATCGGACAAAATGAGCGAACCCTAGGAAGTCAGGGATGGACCCTGTATGTTATTCCTATGGGAGATGATTCCTCGTGCTTCTGGGCAGCAGAGTAAGGCGCTGGCATGCTCTTATCCTGCAGTATGCTACTGCTTTTCCATTTGGTGGGCATTAAACCTTCTTTACGCAGAAATTATTGTTCTGAAACTTAAAATTATCCTGTTTCATAATTACAGTGCGTGTTGTAGGTCGTTGAAATGTTAAGAGCATTCAGTTAATGCAATGTACTCTTCAAAAAATGCTCTAGGCATTTTACACTTTGTAAAAGAAATAAAGACGAAGACAAATAAAATACCCAGGGAGAGCAAACAAAAAAATATGTTCTTTAATTTAAAGTGATCCAGAGTCATCTTGAGTTCATGAACCAGCACTGCCGTTTGATGTCAGCAGAACGGAGCGGAAACGTGTGGTTTGTGCGCTCACTGCTGCCATCGAGCCACAGCTTCGCGCTGGCTGAGCCTGTGGAAGGGCTACGCGGGGCAGACCACAGTGCAAACCTGCGACTGTTTGGCTGCAGGATTAAGACCCTGCCTCAGGTTGAAACTTCAGCTGCTTTATGCCATGTTTCTGTAAGAAACTGTAAGCTTCTGCAGCGTTTTGTATCTCGAATGGTGACAGACCACGATTAACGAAGAAGTAGGCAAGGATGTCTCCTGCTTCCACTGTGCCAGATAGCCATTTCATCATAGGAGGGAGGAAGAGAAAAAGCACGCTACGTCCTTGGAGAGAGAAGAAAGCTGCTGCTGGAAAAGAAAAAAAATAACATTATTGCCTCATGTTCCTTTAGCATGTGACCAGTTACGGCAATTGCTGATTGTCTACATACCAGGAAAAAAAATGCCCTGTAGTATAAAAAGTTCACAGTCTCTACTTCAGGTCATAACAAATGACCTTTCCTCTAATGGCAGCTATTAAGGAAGTCGACGACTAATCCAACATTTAAATATACTTTGCTGAGCAAGAAGAAAATCAGAGAGTACAAGAGAGGGTTGGGGTTTGTTTTTTTTTAAGTTTGTAGTGAACTTTATTTTCTTTCCATTCTCTCTGTGTGATTTGCTGAATGAGATGATGTCTCTCATTCTTTGAAAATAAGCTTTTACATCTAATGAAGCAGATAGAAAATCAGAGATTTAAGAGAGGTCACAGAAGACTTGAAATGCCCATTTAACACTTCATCTGTTAAGAGGATGCTACAGAGTCTACTCTGGATCCTATAGAGCCAGGCTACTTCGGGCTGTAGAGAACCTGCAGCAGAAGAACAGGTGCAGAAGGTTGAGGTGATCAGTTATGGTGTCTCAGGCACAGGGGCAGTGCATGCAGCTCAGGACCACAGGGACTTGTTTTGGTTTTCTTTCTTCTTACCCAACTATTGCAGCTTGGTTGGCTTTCTTTGCCCTGGTCTGTATTTTTCAAGCAGACAAAAGGAATTAAGGGGCGCTTGTGTGTGTGTGTGTGTTTCAAACATGGTTGTCTTTGTTGCAAAGAAAATAGTATGAGCAATGTATAATGGCAATGCAGAGTTTTCTGCCATTAGGATGATCAAAATTCTTGTTCTGCGGAGCTTGTTTTTGCTGAGCAATACTAGGAAGAATTTCTGGAAAAGGACAGAGTTTTCATATTATATTAATAATTCTGTTCTTCATATTGAAGAATATCTGTATGAAACTTGGACAGAATATATAATATATCTTTGTTATTTAGAGGAAATATACATTGTTTTTATATATATTATATATTTATATTAATATAAAAGATTACTATTTAGCCATCCACTTGTACAAAAAGCAGTGAGCTTATTACAGACTTTTTTCTTATTTCTTTCATTTCAATTGGTTATTATTTCTATTTATTGCTGGTTCTTTTCGTTTTCTATTGGGAGGAATCTGTTCACTGAGAAATAGGGGAGATTTAAGTAGACTGCTGTGATTATTCCTCAGACCTAGCTGAAGAGTTACTGGTAAGTCTGTGGACACATATGTAGGTCTAAAATAAATTATTCATTAAGGAAAGTGTTTTTAGTGAACTACCTGTAGATGAGAAATGGGGGCTTCTCCTGAAAGCTTATGTATGTCCCATTTTCCTTTGTGTAAATGCTGAGTGGGCATTAATTTATGCATTAGCTGTGTGAAGATATGATGAAAACAGAGCCGAGAAAGCTCTTAGTGGTTGCAAAAGTACTCGAGGCGTAGAATGCATAAGCATAGCAAAACCATGGTATACGTAATTTGAGTGTCAGTAAAAACTACCTGCCTCAAAAAAAGAAAAAAAGCTGATCACATATCGGCACAGGAAAATAAAAATAAACCCATAAACCTCAGAGTTCCTGCGAATGATTTACTACTAACGTCAGTATTTTTTGAGAGAATGAGATGATTTAGATCAAGCAAACATTCTTCTGACATTAGTGACGTAACAGTCTCGTGTTCAGAGAGATTTCCTGTTTACTTTGGGTCTGAACACAGACATCTCAAGTAAGTAGGTGCTAAAATTTTCATTCCACATCTGCATATAAAGACAGCTCAAACTGTTCTGAGATCTGAGCAAACTTTATATACATTTTTGTTCCTTAGAAAAAAGGGGTGACAGTTTTAAAAACTCCTAAGATCAGAGATGTCTTGGTTTGCTGACCAAGCCAATTCCTCAGTTTTAATCCTGTAATGCAGAAAATGATCAGGCAATGTCACTGTGGCAGCCTTGTGCGCTGCTGCTGCGCTTGTCTTAGCTGGGACCTTTATTAGCAAATTCACCTGGAGCCAAGGCACTCAGTGTCCCTTAGGGGTGAATCACTGCTCCCTACATCTGAAGAGCTCATGGGTGGCAGTAAGGCATCATGGTGAAGTTCTGTACTTAGTTTTATGCTGTAACTTTTTACAAATTTTCTATTTCAAATCATAACTCCCATGAGTGTTCACATATAGAAGCAATACATCTTTTTTATAATTTATGTGTATGATTCATAGCTTTAAGTTGCAAGCTTAGTTTTAAATGTACACTTCTTTTCTGAAAGGCAGAGATCAACCTCCTGTTACATTATTTTCCTAATTATAAAAAACCGGGATTATATTTAATAACTTGCTGCAACTCTTCCTATGCCTTTTGAATCATAGAATCATAGAATCGTAGAATACCAGGTTGGAAGGTACCACAAGGATCATCCAGTCCAACCTCTCAAGGTAAAAGTACAGTTTAAATGAGATGAGTCAGCACCCTGTCAAGCTGACTCTTAAAACTGACCAATGTAGGGGAATTCACCACTTCCCCTGGGAGATTGTTCCAATGTCTGATTGATCTCATGGTAAAAAAATTTATTCTGGATTTCAATCAGAATCTCTCCAGAAGCAACTTGTGTCCATTACCCCTAGTCTTTTCCATGTGACTGCTTGTGAAAAGGGAGTCTCCATATTCTTGGTGGCCACCCTTTATGTACTGGTACATGGTGATTTTGAAAATATGGATGCATTAATTTCCATTTAGCTGCCCACTCTCTAGAAAATGAAGGAGTCTGTTCTAAAACAAACCATAATCAAAATCTTGTATGGACTGAGATCAGAAATAAGTATTTTCAAGTGTTGGGGGTGGATGGGTGTGTGTTTTACTTTGTTTTGCTTTTTCATTTTTGTATGGTTGCATTTTGACAAACAGTGTCGTATATGTGAAAACTTGCTTCATCTCCAACTGCTGAGTAGTCTATGAGACTGAAGTCCTGATGTTACTAGTGAACTCAGGTCAGCTCAGCTTTGCTGCCAAGGCAGGAGGCCTTGTTTTACTCCCAAGCAATAAAAATCTAATAGTAGGAAAACACAGCCTGCAATAAAGTCACTAAGTGAATTTTGTTTCTGTTTTGATGGTCTCTAGAAAATGAGATAACTTATTTGTTTTTGTTAACTGACTTCATTAGATTTGTATCCTGTGAGTATAAAAAAGCGTATTTCTAAATGTATGATTGTGATACTAGCATATGAAAAAATCCCAACATTGAGACATGCTTTGGCATTAAATTATTGTGTGTTTAGAGATTCTGCAACCATTACCTTAACCTGCTAGGTGAGAAATTGCTGTATGTGAAGCTGTTTGGGAATTTACATTGGCACTGGAAACCAAAACTGGATCTTGGAGAGCACATTTATGACAGCAGCAAATGCACAAGCAAAATAATATATGGCATATTGTAGGAAAAGCATAAAATTTTGCTTTTAGAAAAAGAGAGGAGAAAACGGGAAGGAATGGCTTGCTTCTGGCTTCAGCGAGGATGAATTCAGGTCACTGGGAAGCACTTACCAGAGAGGGATGTACCAGTCTGCAAGGACCAGGCTGGGTCCAGCAGAGCCACACTCTGAATTAATGCAGAGCAGGATTCATAATCTTTCATTCAGGGCTTTTACCTCAGTACGTAGGGGTTCCTGGCGCCCTCGGTTCTGTGCTGACAATGCTAAGACGCCAAATAGCGTTTGTGTGAAGCCAGATGGGGTTCACAGAGCTCACCAACTCAGCTGACTCCCAGGTCTGAGTTGTTTCTGGATGCAATGGAGCTCTACTCACTCCAGGGTTGATCCAAGTTGAACAGATCTGTGGGGTGGGTTATTTCCAATTTGGAGAACACACCTTTGAGTGTTTTACTGGTAACTAAAATGAAAAAAGGAAGAGAAACACAACATATATTTTAAAATAGTGCTTATTGGTAGTTTAACTTATAACAGATTTGATGCCACTGAAGTTATTTTTTTTCCAGGCAAAAACTGCTTCTCAAAAATGCAGATGTTCCTGTTATCATGAATACATATTTTAGTCAGAAGGTGCTCCTTGGTGAACATTCTGAAACAAGAGAGAAGACATACAGCCTTACAAAGATGCTTATTAGGAAGAATATTATATCTTTGGCACAGACATTCAGCCTAGATGACCTCGATGATGAGTTATGCCAGGAATCTTCAGAAAATCAGGTAAGTTCCATTTGGTTTGCAGTTTAGCACTTGGTAAGAAGTTGGTGAGCAGATGTTTGGAAATCATAACAAAAACAAAAAGTCTAAATTACTGACCTGTTCCGTTTCCCCTTTCATTTACCCAAGGCTGAGTAACATGCAGTGTTTATTTTAATAATATTTTCTTAGTGGAGGCTTTGGGCCCATCCAAATGCTGAACTGCTGTGAGGTTATTTTGCTGAAGTCTCACTACTGTGCTACATAGTAATTGTAGCTTGAGTTTTCATTGATTTTTCTCTTATGCTGTATAGCTGAATAGCTAAGCTTTATTTTAAATAGAATCTGGTTTCTGCTGACTCACTAAAGATAGTACTTTAAATAAACATTCCGTTTTCACACTCCTATTTCTTAACTCACTTCCTAATTGATCCTGTCCTTTCTTTAAAGCATTAACTGGTAACACCACCCCCTTTTTCCACCCATTCAATTTGTTTTCTTTCCTATTTTGGCTATGTTTATATTAAAATGACAACTGACTGTGCATGTCTCTAGCTGTGATTGTACAAGCTGGAGTATTTTGAAGGATCTGGTTTTCTGGTAGTATGTGCCAACACTTATCGAAAGTAAGGCTCTTGTAAAGGCTTTATATTGGCCACCCAAAATCATTCTTAATACTCAATACTTGAGAAGCTTGGCCCTACATTTTGAAGAACAATATTAAGTGTCAATCTTTTCTATTTGCCTTATATATAATTCCCATTATAGGCCTGGGAATGCGAAAGTTTCTTAAATCATATCCTAATCTCCATTCTTGCTTCAACTCTACCTTGTAAAAAGCTTCTACTGTGGTATTCGAAAACCAGAACAATTTACTTGTTCCTCTTATGGCTCCTAATAAATAAAACCACTTCATTTAAAACTCGGTCGACAAGTTTTATTGGAACTTCTTTGTAGACAAAGGGTAGTGTCTTACCACAATTTTCTTTTAAGTACTGCAAATTCTCCTTCCCTACTTGGTGGATAATACATAATGGCACAGTCTGTAGTACTCTGAAGATCTTTCCTGGCGCCCAGCTTTTTATAAAAATAGGTTTCATCCTGAAAATAGAAATTTGGCTTGTGCTGGGAAGGAGCCAATACATATATATATAGACCATGCTAGTCTATACTTGCACATAATTTTTACTGAGAGAGAGATTTATTTTAAAATTAATTAAATTACACATTTAGATTAAGACAAAATCTAGCATAATTTTATTTGTAAAATTTATTTTGAAAGTTTGGAATATTTTATTTGTAAAATATGTTTTGGAAACAGTGAAAGAATAAATTAATGCTTGTAATTTTAAAGTTTTCTTTTACATTGAGATGTATAGGCCTGAGGACTAACTTACTGTTCTATAAAACTGGACACCTGTTCATTTTCAGCTTAATCTAAAAGTCCAGAAGCAGTCAAGATGGATTTTTCCTGTTTTTTTAGAAGACGAAGGAACAGAACATCAAAGTACTAAAAATGAAACTCAGTTCAAGGGGAAGAATCATAAATATTAATATCAATTCTGTTTTCCTGCTGGTGGCACCCTCATATCTCATGGACTGAGTTAGCTCACTCCAGAGCACCAGTTAAATGCAGAAGAGCACTGTGTGCTTGACTCCCTTGGATGGTCATTAAAAATCCACAATAAATACTGGCCGTTAGTACAGCTGTTAGTTAGTTTAGGTGCTGTAAGTATTTTGAAACTGATTTTGCACTTCTTGCAGTGACTTTTCGTGCTGAAATTTTACTCTTTATCGCTACATTGTTTCAAGATCCTGTGAAATGCGTCTATTAATGTGTTTTCCTTCACCAGGTTGCTTGTGCTCCACAAATCCATAACAAGTGTGATTCAAAACAGCATCCTTTAGCACAGAATGCTGTTAATGATTCACTGCTTGAGATGGTGGAAAGCCAGGGAGCAGTGGGATGGAGAGAAGCGCAGGTACGAGTCGTTATCCAGAGGGTGTACTGTTTGCCTGCAAGAGAAGCTTACAGAAGCCATGTTCAAGGAAAGAAGCCTCTTTGTGCAACACCCATCATAAATCCAGATCCACCAAATGTCAGGTGAGTAACAAAATGCATGAGAATTTTGCAGTTGAGGTTGTGATCTGTGAGAAACCAAAAAGGAGGGAGTTTGGAAATGTCATTCTTAGTCACCAGCTCATAGGGAATAAGCATGCTCAGCAAGATGCAGGGCTCTTTATTAAAGTGCTGTAGAGTTTTTTTAATAAGTATAGTGTGACACAGAAATAGTCCTGTCCAGAGGAGAGAAGGGTCTGTCTATGGTTCGTGTCATCAGCAGATGACGGGAAGACTGAAAACGAATTTGTTAATGGGAGGTTAATTTAAAACCAGTGATGATCATTGACATCTTATACTCTTCCTTGAGTTTCACAGAATAACTGTTACTTCCAGTTTGCCTACTTCAGTCTTCAGCATGCTCTGCTAGTAAGTTATGCTCATAGAGTGGTCTTTTGAAACACAAGAGAAATACATAGAGAAATGGAGAAATGTAAGGCTTTTCTAAAATGGGGATTTTGCACAGATTCCATTAGAGAAACATAGGTGTACACATGCAAACTTCCATTGTGAAGGCACTGGAAAAAGCTCCTGTTGTCTTCTGGTAATAGAGAGGTCATAGCAGTTCAGCTTCTCTGAAGTAAAAAGTCATCTGGTGTCAAAACATTAATGCCAATGCAGAAGCCTTATGCACAAAACCCATGGAGCGCACAGCCTTAGGTCAATGGTTTTATCCTCTTCTGTTTTAGTCTTTGCACCCTAACACTGATGTGTTGTCAGTGTAGGTAATCGAGAATGGGACCTTGCTTTCTTAAGTACAAAAGATATGCCATACACAGTCTGGCTAGTACTTAACTGGTGAATCCTTTCCTTCTCCTTTTATGATCCTCAAGGTCCAAGACCAAAGACTGATTTCAAAGCCTTGCTAAGCAATGCTGCATCTGAGATCACTGTGTCTGTTACTGAATTTCCTTCCTTTGGTTTTGCACTAACTTTTGGTTCATGATGGCTTAAAATTTTAAAAGGTAAAATACATACGATTTTGTTTTCACTCAGAAACCTTATTAAAGTGGCAGTGCTTATATAAAGCTTCAAAGTGCAGCCTTTCAGGGCATTAGGATATCTATCTTCCTGCAGAGTTTAGAACCTGAATGGAGATGTGCAATTAGTTTAAAATGTCCCATTGAGAACTCTCCCAATGTAATTTGCAATAGGCTTTGAAACTGATTTTTCAAAGGTCTGAAGAATTTGAGTTCCTCTAAGCCACCCTGCTGGTGGGTGGTAGCACACTCACAGGTCCTTCTTCCTGAGCTTTTGAAATACTGGAATTCTCCCAATTTTTCCACCTTGTAAGCCACTGGATAATTTACAGCACTCACTGATCAACAAAATTCATCCAAGAGGAATTTAGGAAGATTGGTCTTTCCTAAAATGCAAGCTTGGTCATCCCCCACAGGAAAGTAATCATCAACAGTCTTGTCCCCAGTATTTCCTAAAAGCTCCTTTACTTGTAATAGTTACATTGACCTTAACTTGCAATTTTTTTAAAAAAGTAATTCGAACATCTCGTTGTGTGAACTCCTTGCTTTATATTTAATTCATTCTTGCTATAATATATATTTTTTAATAAGTGAAAGGAAAAGTACTTTACCAGCCCCACATCAAGATGTGATTTTGAGGACAGTATTCCTCTTTGTAGATTAGCCCTTCCAGGGGGCTACTTTGGATCAAAAGTCAGGGCAGCTGACAGTCTACATTATTCAAGCTGATTTTTATCAACATCGATCCTCGCGGAGTTCAAATCATAGAATCACAGAATGGTTTGGGTTGGAAGGGACCTTAAAGATGATCCAGTCCAGCCCCCTGCCATGGTAATGATAATACCATCTCTGTATTTCCTTTCCAACTTTTAACCAAAAGTATACTTAACTTCCAGTCACACAACTTGAGGTAGTTAACCTGCCTGAGCCCACACCCTTCACAGGAATGGGCTGAAAGAAAACAGAAATCTGAGATTGCACTTCTTATGTCAAACTTGAAAATAGAAATAAAATAAAATAAAAAATGAGAGTCTGTTGCTTCTGAGTACATGCTGTAGCTGGGTATTCTCACCTGCAGTTGTTAAACTGGCCTCTCAGAAGTTCCTCAAATTTTATAGATGTTCCAGCTCAGAGAAGAGCTTGGTTGTCATTTGCAGCTATCAGACTGTCTTTTGGATCCTGAAGAGAAAAATCAGCCCACTTTCCCTTTTGCAAAGAGAGGGAACACTTCTTTTAAAGACTGAGAAATGGAAAACACCTCATGCTGCTTTATCAGCTGCTATTCCATGGCTGATATGCATCCACATGAGACTTTCCTCCTCTGTCAAAAATGTCTGTGTCTGTCACCTGATAGTGAGCAAAAGGGTCACACGCCCTCTGGCAGTCCTTTGAACCAACTGATGGCTCATTCTTTTGTAATTAAAAACCCCTCTTTTTTTCTTTGTAAACTTTTTGAAAAGTAAAACTGCCATGAAAGCAACGTTTGACTTTTATGAGGCAAGATGAGTTAGATAATTCATTGTTCCGTTAACAAAAGTTTCTAATTAGATATCAAGGTAGATGAATAGTTAATTGCTTTGTATTTTAGACAGGCTGTTTTATTGTATATTTTCTTTTGTAGCACTCCACAATAACCTAGATGTTGTTGCCACAGGAAAGCATGAAAAACACAGTAAGCTGAAAAGAGGCATGAAATTAAATGTGGAGCAGGGGAAGTGATGCATTTTGTTCAAGGCATCCAGTTTCTAGAAAGAACAAATTGTGAGAGAAACCTCTATTTTCATTGTAAGGAAATGGATTCATTTAATTGGTTAAAACTAACACTAGCAAAGCATAGAAATTGTGGTAATGCCTATATGTATCTAGCTTTTATTGTTCATAAATACACATATATAGAATATGGCCTTTTACTGATAGACGTCTGATGAGTTTAAGTCTGTTCAGCTGAAGTATTTAAAGCGTTTTCTGAGGATGCTGAGAAATCATTACAGAGACTGAGAGGTTCTCCAGCTTCTGTCATACGTAAATTGGTCCCATATTCCCTATATTATTGTCAAATCAATTGCCTTTCCCCGCTGTAATTAACTGCTCTTGCAAATGGACTTTTCATGCTGAAGAACTTTCATGGGGAAAACAACAAAAAAAAGAAAATATGGCTTGCCATGACTGTCTGCCCATTTCCAGAATTCCTAGCATACCTTTTGCTGCTTTTTCCTTTCTGATGAGAGAGATACTTTTGCTAATGATGCAACACATGTTTGTCTAAAGCCGATTATTTTGGCTCTTTCTGAAAAAGTCCTGGCTTACATATACGAGGATCCCAAAGAGACTCCTGTCAACCTGAGGAGCTCACTGGCGCTGAGGTGTCTGACTCACTGCGTCGGCCTTGTACTTTGTGTTCCTGGGATAAAGCAGTGTATAATTTGGATTTTGCTCTTGCCAGTATCTGTTTGTTTTGAGCAGGCCATGTGAGTTCAGTAAAAATTAGAGCTGGTCAGTTTTATGCCTTAAAGGACAGGGCTGGTTGTGTGGTAGGTGGTAAAACTAAAATAGATGCATTTTTAGGACTATTAAGCAGTTAAACTGGTCAGAGCACTTGAAAGATTTGAGTGAGGATTCTGGACAGAAAAGGGTGTTGTCTATTAAGAAGGAAAAGCTAACCACTGCTAATATAAAACAATGCTAGCTATAGCTGTGAATCCACATCTTGAAATCTCTGTGGGTGACTACAGAAATTTTCCATTCAGTTCATTTGGCGTAGTTTTGACCTAGTTCCTACCTGAAAGTTAGCACTCTAGCCTGCTATGACTTTCTATTGCAAGAACAAAAGACAGACAGTATATTTACTTAAAAAAATAATGTGATCTGCCTCTATACACTAGCCTTCCATAGTTCTTCCAGTTTTGCTCTGTATTTTGTTCTCCATTTGCCAGATCTTAGAGCAGTGGAAAGGCCTGCTACCAGGCAGGCAGATCCTTGGGGAGCAAAATATTTAGAAGAGCTGAGGGTTTATTTGAGTGGCTGGAAGAAATACAAATGTGGAAAAAGTCACATTTCTCTTTTTGAGCAGGCCCCCAGAAACATGATAGTCAGTTGCTGGGATTCATTATGCTCTAGCAAGTTGTTACAAGTGTCTAAGTAGTCTGTTCCTACGTAATTCTGTGTAAAACAGTTTTATTGGCAAGTGGTAATCCAGTAAAACGAATTCATTTCAAAGTTGGATTTCCTTTTTTCCTCTTTTTTGTCATCTAATGAACTTTGCTGTTTATCTTAACAGAAATCTAGTCAATGGGTTAACTTGTGTGGCAGCATGCACAACTACAAGTTGAGTGTCAGGTGCTGCAACTAGCATTCCAAGGAGGTGGGCTAATATATTGAAAAGTCACCCTTCTGGTATGGAAAACCTAGCTTAAATTTTATAAAGCATATTGAAATAAACAGCAACAAAAGAAACCCTGGAGGTCTTCGTATTTGAAAAGAGCCCAGATTGGAAAGGATTGTCGTGAAAGATCCATGTTCACAGATGCTAACATCTGTCAGAATGTTTTTTGTGGCTGACTTAAATCTGTTTACAGCATTCCATTTGGTTTTTGTGTTTTTTCAACAAAACATTTTTAATGGAATGGTCATAAATGCAAGTTTTAAAAAATTACATTATGTTTCTGGGATGTGATTTTTCAAGTGGGAAATAAACAGGAAATAGGTAACTGAAGTGCAGTAGTGAGTACTCTGTAAGCTAGAAGTTTTCTCTGATTTCTCCTTTTCAGATTCTTCTCAGAAGTGAAGATACATGCTTTTCATATTCTTGCAGAATAGTCTAATTGCTACTTGACAGACTTGTAATGGTTCTCCTGACAACTTTGGTTCAAGGTCTAGTAACCTGTTTCTGCTTTGAAGTCTCTCTTTTTTTTCTCTCTTTTTTATTCACAATTAAGACTCCCTGACACTTCAATTATTCCCTTTTACCTCCATCCTATGCTATTTGTAGTTCTCAAACTGGAGCCA